GAAGATATTCCTAGAGAATTTAAATCGAGATTAAGGTGTGTAACTAAATTAATGCTTGCTTCCTTTTGCGGTTCATCTTCTTCATCAACGTCAAAATTTGGTGGTTGTATATTTAGATCTATTCCAACTTTCATTTTTATTTTGTTATTAAAGATTTTAGTGTGTTAATTTATAGAACAATTGTGGTGGGAATACATAAACATTTTAGAATAAAAAGCGGGTAATTTAAAAAAAAATTGCCTGAATTTTTTTAGGGGAAATTTTTATGTAGAAATAAAATCTCTGTTTTTATGCGGGAATGTTTTGCTTTTCTTTTTTTGGTTTTTCAACGGAGTATTATGGTTATGAAGTTTTGAAAGAATATAGAGAGACTAAACAATTTATGAATAATTGAGATTCAAGAGAGAGAATAAGGGGGAGAATAATGGGGAGAAAAAATTAGTGGGAGAGTCAAACACCGAAGAAATCAATTCTTTTTAATGGGTATGTGAGAGAAATAAATAAAACCAAAATTTGGTAAGAGGGTATATTAGTCTATAGATGATTTTTCTCCTCAAATTTAGCCATATTTGTTGGGTTTCTTAGTTATTGTGCAAATACCTTAAACGTCAGATAAATTGGCATGGAGGGACTAGTTTCGAATCTTTAAGTCTCTGGCCAGAGCTCACTATGGGATGATTAGGGAATTCGATTCTCTAAGTCATGCACGTACCGATTACAACACTTAGAACGATCGCACAACTATTGAACTACAAAGGAGGTCTCGATGAACCAATGCCTCTAGTTCAATCGGGACATATGAATCGAAGGGATCGTACTGTATGTTAACTTTATCAAAAGGTTCTTGCAGACACTTCATTTGTATGTAGGGAATCATGACGCGTTGTTGCTAGACGCCAATCTTGATTCGTTGGGTGATTGAGTTGAAACAAGCTTCATCTTAATCGTAACTCTAGGTTTAAACCGCAAAGAGCTGTGGACCCACGGCTAGCTTACACCTGAACCATACTGCTCCTGTACTCGAGTTCTTTGAATAAACGGTCAAAGATAAAAATGTTTAATATTTTCATAATTGGAAATCAATATGATTCAGTCCAATATTCGTAATTTGGAATTATGAATGAGAATAAGAAAAGGAAAAGAACTAGGCGAACATCTTAGTGAACTTTCTAAATTGTGAAGTTTCCAAATTTAGAAGGTCCACTGAATTAGGGTTTCCCCTTTCAGAAATTAAAAATCGAGAATTGGCATTCGTAATGACGAGGACGTTTCAATGATTCCGAAAATATAATCGTTATAAGTTTCCGATCATTGAGTTGTGAGAAACGAGCGAATAAAGAGTAAAGAACTTAAGTTGTTGGGCCCGGTCCAACTTAAGCCCGTTAGGGCTTTTATACAAGACACTATAAATACAAGATTTATGGGTCTTGCACAAATACAACACACACCACAAAACCCTAGCCTCTTTCTCACACGTCCACGGCCACTCTCCACCATCGCCGTCGCCCCGTCGCAGGAATCACCGCCCACGCGCCGATAATCTTTGGTAGCACTTTTCTTTTTGTCTTATTCTTCCGTTTATTCTTACTTTTGCGTGTCTAGTGCCACTTATTTAGCATAAATCAGTATATGAGGTGAAATCTGAGAAGAGGAAGACAAATGAGTCAAATCAACGAGAAGCATCCACCGAACAGACACCGCATGCGCCCTCACGCACCGCCCGAAGATAGCACATGATCCATACGCGCCGCCACTGCCCGGGCGTCCGTCGTTGCCATTTCGCCGCCGCTGCTCCCGAGTGCACGGATTACACGTGCCCGATTCCCAACACAGTGCATACAGTCCAGTGAACCGATCATTTCAGGGAACCCGCGTCGTTCCGCTTTGTCAAGTAGCCTTGTCAGATCTGCATTTGTCGGAGCAGGAAGGTTCTCATCTTCATACAACCGCAAAATTGTTTTGCGAAATTCGCGCAAGGTCTCGTTTGCGGTCGTCTCTGCCATATGGAAAGTTTCGTCAATTGAATCAGCGGAGTATGCGTAAGACAACATTCGCATAGCAACGGTAACCTTTTAGAGTGATGAGAATCCTAATTTGTGGGCCCTATCAAGTTTTCATTGAAAATATGGATTCGAGCGTCGCAATATTCAACCAAAAGTAATAGTAAATGACGCTTCATTCGGAACCGTCGTCTGAAATCATCTGCATCAAAAACACGGTTGTCAACGAAGTAATCATTCATGAGTTGTTCGTGTTTAACTTTTCGATCGCGAGGTTTATATTTGCATCTAGGAACAGAGCCACCGTGTACAACCTCTTGATTAACGGCTGCTTCATAGTGTAGACGAGCAAGTGTATTTGCTTTGTTGTCTTCTTCAAGTATTTGCTCATTATACGCAACCCAATCAAATTGATTAGAACTCGAACCATAATTTATTATTGAAATATTTTGCTCGTAAAATGATTAAATGGATATATTCATGATGAAATATTTTATTGATTGAAACACATTTAAATAGGGAAGAAAAGACCATAAATAAAATTATATGTAAACATAATATGGAGAACAAATCGCTACGTGACACATCATATTAATTATCATGTCTTTTTTTTTCCTTTTTTTTTTGTTCATAATTATTTTCTCTCACCACATATTTTGTTTTCCAGATTGCAGACAATGTCTACATGACTTAATTGAGAGATGGTGTTGATAACGACTATACAAACCTGATAGTGACTATACAAACTTTTGAACTGAAATTTTACTTTTGTCTTTTGCGGATTTTACTTTTGTCTTTTCGGATTTACCCTGACCGTTCATATTTTACTTGTGCCCTTTCAAATTTTACTTTTGACCTTTCGAAATTACCCTGACCTTTCATATTTTACTCGTATCCTTTCAATTTTTACTTTGCCCTTTCAAGATTTACATTGTCTTCTACACTTCTTTACACACAATGATTTCTCTATATAATGAGAAGGGATATGTTAGAAAATAATTCACATCTTCACATCTACACTTATATGAGAAATATATCTATTTTTTATATGGCTCCCACTAAAGGTTGGTCAGAAGATGAATATGTAGCTCTTACGAAAGCATACGTCTCGGAGGATCCAATTCACGGGACTAACCAAACTAAAGGAGGTATGTGGAAGAAAGTTATGTCTAACATGAAACAAATTCTTGATGAGGAGAGAATTTCGTATAATATTAGAAAAAAAGATGCCGTACTTAGTCTGTAGAGAAAAAAATTTTATAAGTATTTGAACCACTGGTATTCGGCAACTAAAGAAGCATCAAGAGTTTGCGGTAGTGGAGGAAACCTGGTCGATGAGGTAAATGTTATGATAATAGTATTTTGTATTATTTTATATTTGCATGAAGTACATTAATTTGTAATTTGTATTTGTACTATACTTTGCCATTGACTATCTATCGAAGAAATACTAAAAAAAACTTTCAACTTGCAATGTTGTTGGGAAGTTGGTATGAATTGGGTGATGTTAAATGCGCAAGAAGATATGGTGGATGAAATTGAAATGGAGCCATTTCATTGGCAGTCCGCATTTCCTTCATCTCAACCAATGAATTCCCCACCAAGTTATTCTCCACCAGGCCACCGTATGTTTTACGCGATGAGCTACCACTAGTGGATTCACATACTGACCAACGTAGTAAGAGACTTATCGGATCGAAAAAAGCCCGTAAAGGCAAAGAAAAGGCGGCGCCTAGTTCTAATGCGGAATCTAATTATAATAATCAAGTACAAATACTAGAGACCGGACGAAAGCTTAGGCATGATCAAAACATTGCAATCCAACAAATGCAAGAAGAACATAGAGTTATGGCAATGGATACAAGTGATTGCACTCCAGGTACAAAAGCATATTGGAAGTCGAAAGAAAAGAGATGCAAAGAAAACAAATCGCAAAAGATTTATTTGAAAGTTCTTCGGCCCATTTAGATGACGACGGATTTAATCCGTTTGATTGATCTCCCTTGTTCGATTTATATGGGTACTCTTTCCTTGTGTCGGCCCACAAGGTTTTTGTTGAGGCCCATTCGTTATTTCATAAATATAAATCGAATAACAATTTGTTGGCCCAAAAGAAAAACAAAAAAACCAAAAACAATTCCTTGTTCAATTATTTATTATTTTTTGTTTGTAGTAATCGGTATTATCTTAGTTGTTTTCGGATTCTTGTTGTATTAATCGGTATTATCATTGTTGTTTTTCAAATGTTGTATAAGTGATTTTTATTCTTGTTTGTTTTTTTGCAATTATTGAATTAGTTGAAGATTATTTCTTTACATTTATTTGAATATTGTATTATTATAATTAAATTATTATTATTATTATTATTATTATTATTATTATTATTATTATTATTATTATTATTATTATTATTATTATTATTATTATTATTATTATTATCTATCATCATTATTTTTATTATTAATTATTATAAGTAATAATTATTATTAATTATCAGTTGTTAATATTAATATTAATATTAATAATAATATTATTATTGTTATTATTATTATTGTGGTTGTTATTATTACTTTATTATTATTATTATAGTTGTGAGAGTGGGGATTGAAAAAAATAATAATAAAGGACCGAACGGTTGGAAACGACTTAGGATTGGGAGAGAGAGAGGGAGAGGGAGGGGGAAACACCCTCCATTGGAGATGCTCTTATAAGAACAATTTATGTACATAACTTGCTTTGTATAAATACAGGGCATGCAAAAACCAGTAAATTAGTTTTCAATAGCCCTTTTTCAATAAAAAAAATTGTCCAAAAAAAACTTTTATTTAAGAAAACGAATAGTGGGGCCTCATTAAAACCTTATTTGTCCTAACAGGGAAAGATTATTGTGACGCCCGCCTTCTATGAAGCGTTTGTCAAATTACTCTATGAAATTACCCGGTCTACTTTTTTTTTTTTTTTTCATGGATAATACTAATTACTAATCAAACTATAGTTCAAAAAAATACGTACGATTTATTTATTAACAACCTCACTTCTAGCAAGGTAAAGTACAAAGGTTCCGAACATTTATAACAACAGCTCCTAGCTTATGAGATTACAATACTATAACATAAATAAGTTAAAACGCTGATATTTATAATACAAGACAGCGATTATTCTTAACTTAATCGAACCACTATTTTACAAATATAAACAAGGTAACTACTCGGACGGGAAATCCTCTTATTCGTTCAAGCTGCACCTGTGTCTGAGAATATGACAGAATAAAGTAGAGGGATAAGTCATAGAAGACTTAGTGAGGTGAAATATAAGAATAACGAGTTACGACATGATCTGAGAGAAAGTATGATGATCGAACCAATTGGTGATATCGGAAAATAGAAGCGATGAAAGATTATCCATCGATTGGAAATTCAAGAATAATAGTAAGGATGATCAATAAATTTTCCGATCAATAGAGATAAGAATACACCTACCTTGTGACTCCCGTAGCCGTTTACTACCTTATTCACCTAGCAGGGAATGACCCTGTAATGCAATGTGGCATGCCCGGGCGCATGCCGGTTTAGCCCGAAACCCAACTAACCTCCAGTTGTGTACGGGTCTAAACCTATGTGGGTACTGTTGGAGAGACTACCCACCGTCGGCCCGATACCGCCCAGCGGTCACCTCCAAACAGCCCCGGGCCCATTAATATCCATTGTCCTTGAGGCGTCCCAAAAGGACTTCATCGATCATATAAGAAGACCATATTTCTGATTATTTCAGGATTTCAAAGACAAAATAATTCCGAAGAAATGGGATCAAGTGAAAGGTTTCAAAGAGGGCTCGATGTTTCAAGATGTGAAGTTTAGATAATTGAATAAAACTTGAAGGAAAACGATCGGCTTCAAAGAATTTCATACCGATCACTCAATAAGTACTATTCGAAGGAAATGGAAATCAAAGAGTTGAACGCTCGATAAGATAGCATTTCTCAAATAATCTCAAGTTCAACATCATCCAATCAATTTCAAATAACGATAATCAAATGATAACGAGTAGATCAATTCACTGAAAAGGGAGCAAAATTCAAGTACTCGAGCGATACAATTACCCGAGTTTATCATATTCCCAGAAAAGGTCAAGCAAGAGAACCCTCACCTCGGTTCAATCAAGAGTACTTTTCGATCACGGTTCCTCGATCTCAAAACCTATGCAATAGTTAAACTATAAGACACCAAATTATTAATTAAAATAAAATGATATACACTCTACGTTTTCCTAGCTTTATATGTTCTTACGGTCGAATAATTCACGTACCAATTCTAATTTAATCTAACCCCGTAACTAACATCAAAACTTACCACATAACCATCACGTTTATGCTACCACGACGAAGACCAACAAAATTTGTTCATATATGACGACTCTCTCAACATAATAATAAAACGTATGTGCTGCCACAGTTTATTCAAAAATTCATAACACATTCCACGTTTATCCAAATTGCTCACATGATATACCAAATGAAAGCTAACAAATAATACTACGAGTTCACAGAAGACTTTCACCCCTGATTCTGAACCAAAAATAGCAGAATTTCCAAAAACCAGCATGTAACAGAACTGCCGAACATTGAAAATTCAGTTCTGGTACAACTTATTTGAAAAATAATAACATGCTATACATATCTCGAAACAGAACAAATGATATACCAAATTAAAGCTAAGAACAATATCTACAAGTTCAATGAAGACAACATTCTCAAATTATGAGCACAACATAACTAAAACAGCCCCCGAAAAGGTTTATAAAAACTGCCGGTATTTACAAAAATCCATTTTCTGGCAGTATGTTTGAAAAATCGTAATAATTTGAAATGTCATCCAAATTTAACAAATAGTATATGAAATCGAACATAACGACTTCATCCACAAATCGACAGAAGACATTGAACTCAAATTATGAATCAAATATACAGAAAACAGCCCCAAAAGAATAATCATACGAGCTGCCAGAATTGACAGCTTTCAACGCCCATATTCCTCCGTTCAAAAAGCCTATAGAACTCAATCATATGGAACGAGCTTCAACATATAATTAACGTACTCCAGAAAATCTATGATGTTTGAGAAGAAACGATTTTAAAATTCGAATTCCAAAGCTCCAAATTATGTTCCGAAAATCAGAGTAACAACTACAAGTTTTATTTCGAAAATTCTTTTTTGAAGCTACTGTAGAATTAAAATCAGTTCCAAAAAGGGTTCTAAAAATTGGGGAAAATCAATCATTCGAACAATATTCAGCCTATCCTACAATTTTCATGAAGAAACGAAATCGAAATTCGAAGCCAAAATACCTCAAATCGGATTATGAAATTAACAGTAGGCAATCGTCATCAAATCAAATGGGTCGGAATCTCCACCGAACTAAAGCCTGTAAACCCCCGCTCGATGAAACTTCACCGGGAAGGTCGTCAAGTCACCATCTTTTCTTCGATGATTGAATATGAGCTTCTTCTTACTTCTTGATTTGGTAAATGATATTTGTGTGTTTTCTTGATAGGAACTTGATGGGGGATGATGTATAAAATTAGGCAGAAGGGGGGGTTTTTAAAGAATGAAGATGAAGGGAGAAGATGACTCGTCGATTATAATACGTGTCTTCTCCTTAAAATTTACTTAATCTGATAATTATCCTCTTAAACGTCAGATCCTTGCTGCCCAAGTCTAAATATATAGAATCATTATCTGCCTTAACTATTCCTTAATACTATATCAGCCCTTGTAAATTACCTTATTTATTCTTATTCCCCAACTTTATATATCAATAACATCTAAGCCACATAATAAAAATTAAGGGGTGTTACAATTATCCCTTTTTTTAACATAAATAATAAATACCAAATATATCGGAAAAACAAATGTGCCTAAAATCACACAGACCCAATGTATCACGGCGGAAAAAAGTGGAAAAACAAAACCCCAAGTTCCAGCGTAACCTCACCGGTCTTTCCTTAAAGAACTAAGCTCACATTCACCGAAAAGAATCGAGCTTTCCTTCTCATAAGAGGTTCTCTCTTCACTTAGATTTTTACTCAAAATACCCAAGGTTTTGCTCTCTTCTTTCTCATCTTTTCGTTCACCTTCACACAGAAGAAAATAGGGTGCACTTATACACCCAAACCATCAACTAAACTCACTAACAATATGGCAACAAATGACAAAAATCCATTAAAGAATAAGATTAGGTGCCTGTTGAGAGAAACTGGGAGAAGAATAGTTCTGCCGTAAATGAAGAACGACTAGTCTGAAGAGAGAGAGAGAAAGCCAAAGTGGGATTTGAATTGAGTTTTAATTTGGGCTCACGTATTATGTGGGGTGCTGATAACTGGGCTACAAGATGGAATTGTTAATGGACCATTCACAAATAATAAAATTAGCACAACTTCTAACAATTCTCCATCTGACCCAAATGAATCATCGAAACCTTTGTGGATAAACGAATTCAGCATTGCCTTTTGACACTACCTGCACTCACAACACAAAGTTAGTACATGTTAACAATAAAACACAATGTAATGCAATAAAAAAACAAAACAAATTAAAGTAATGCAATCGCAAGAAAAAAAATATAAAGTAATGCAATGGCATGCAAAAAACATAAAGTAATATGCAATAGCATGCAAAAAAAAAAGTAATGAAATTGACAAGCAAAACAAAATGTAATGCCAATATTCTAAGACATTAGAACACATCCATCAGATATCATATTGTCTTGATCTTTATTTTGGCATATCTTAGGATCGGGACGTTCATATAATGATCAGGGACACAACACCTAAAACACCTTCTAATATTAAGTTTAGTCTTTCACTTACTCCAATCTCCACCTCTTTCTTATTCATAACATTATTTGGATCATTTTTACTAGAAGAATCCTTGTTGTTTTAAAATCAATTAGGTTGACTTCCTCTAACAAAATTAATATCACCAAATGATTTATCCCTATTAGTTCTTAATTTAAGCTCTTGGCTTTTTAAAGCATTAATCCCGATATTTTATGTATCATGATCCCTTCCCTACCATATTTAGTAGCATAATGTTTTATTTTTTTTTGCCAAAAAGTTTTATTTTTTGCCAAAAACATTTATTTTAACATCATTATAAACATCATGTATAACATTCCAGAGCGATAGGTGTATAAAAATCAATGTTCTTATCACCATTTAATTTAATATCTTGAACCAAAGTTGTAAAATTATCCATATTAGCATCAATATTTTTGCTTAAGTCCAATTTAAATCAAAGAATAGTTTCAAGCAAAAATATTTTATTGAGCAATGATGTGTCAGTATAAAGTTCCTAAAATTTACCCCAAATTTCGTTAGCAGAATCATGCTTACTAACTTTCTTAATCAATGAATCACTTAGGTTAAAGATGATATATAGTAGACTAAACAAGTTCATCAAGTTCTTCACATTTTGCAACAGTTGTTGAAACATCTTCAGTTTGAAAAATTGCTTTCAAACATTTTTGTTGGATTAAAATGTTTTTCATTTTCTGTTGCCAAATTGAAAAATTACCATTTGCATTGAAAGGTGCCAAAGAAAACACATAAACATATCCCATTTTTCAAGTATCACAAAGATAGCAGATTCACAAAGATTCACAATTTTTTAATAGGATCAACAAAAAGTAAAACCACAAAGATTCACAGTTTTTTAGTGAAACATCCAATCATAGAGATTCAAAATTTTCAAAAAAAATTACAAAGATAGCAGAATCTCACAAATTCACGGTTTCAAAGTAAAATTGAATTACAACAAATTCTAATTTTCAAATATCACATAATATTACCGGAAACAATAAACGACAAAATCATCAAAATTCAACAATCACATGTATAATTGTCACCAAGATTCAATCAATCCACCAAGAGAAGAAAGTTATACATGACGAAAACCCTGGACTAGGGTTTCGTACGCCGCTCCGGACACACCCTAAACTTGCTTCGATACCACTATTGGGTATTTGGCAGGAGAAACAATATCAAAATTTAATAAAGCAAGGGAAACAAACTATTATAACTATAAAGTTCTAAATATTGCTAATCTACTAATTCAAGAAATGAAAACTATTCAAGTAGGAAACACTCAGCAACAAGCCAATACATAAGAAACTATTCAGTTTTACGATTTACTTGAATGTTGTTGCTGAAGCCATTGGGACTATTTACTTGAATGTTATGGATTCTAGTTTTACGATTGTTTTGAACGATTGTTTATTTGTTCCGTATCATTAGAAACCTTTTTTCTATTCCTGTTTTGGATAATGAAGGTTTTACTTTTGTTTTTGGAAATTCGATTTGAATTATATAAAAGAATGAAAATGTGATTTGCAAGGGACAACTATTAAACAACTTAGATGAACTAAATCCAAGTGAAATACCCTTTAATGTCATATCAGCAAAACCTAAGGAGATGGATCAAAATCCCGAACAACTTTGGCACGCTAGATTAGGTCATGTCTCTTTAAGAAAGATGAACGAATTTGTTAGTGAAGGATTGTTCACTTTGGACGACGTGAAATCACTACAAACTTGTGAATCCTGCCTTAAAAGGGAAAATTATCAAGTCACCCTACAAAGGGAAAAAGGAGCGAGCCGAAGGTCTTTTGGATTTTATCCATACGTATGTGGTCCACTAAGCATTAGTGCGAAGAGTGGTTTTAACTACTTCGCTACCTTTACCGATGATTATTCAAGGTATAGGTATGTGTACTTAATGAAGTACAAGTCCGAAACTTTTGAAACGTTCAAAGATTTTAGACACGAAGTAGAAAAACAACTTGGACGAAGTATTAAGAAACTACGATCCGATCGTGGTGGAGAATACTTAACTATCGAGTTTAAAAGTTCCAAGCAAAGCACGACGGCCGATTCCACTACCGAAGCTGAGTATATTGCAGCATCGGAGGCTGCAAAACAGAGGACTTGGATAAGGAAATTCATCCAAGAGTTGGGTATTGATCCTAATGCTAATGATCCAGTACCGTTGTACTTTGATAACACCGGAGTCATGGCGCAAGCTAAGGAGCCGAGATCTCATCAGAAGTCCAAGCATATTCTAAGGAAGTATCATGTGATCAGAAAGATCATTGATATAGGTGAATTCAAGGAAGAACGAGTCAACTCAGAAGAGAACGTAGCAGACCCCTTCACGAAGCCTTTGCCAAGATCGATCCACGAGAAACATTGAGAGTCGATGGGATTACGATTTATGGGTAATTAACTTTAGATCAAGTGGGAGATTGTTGGAGCAGGTGACCTACAAGCCAACTTGTGGCTGTGGTCATTCATTTATTACTGTAATAAATAATCCTTTTTCGTATTAATGATAAAAAAAACACATTTTCGCATTCTATATCTTTGTCACGTGAATAAGCGTAGTTATATTCTTTTCAGTTATTATAATTACTTATATTTTATATAGTTGAATCATAAGATATTTAGTTAAGTAATATAACAGTTAAACCATGTTCCGAGTCAAAAGGGTTACACCACCAATGAAGATATCGGCCTTTTCCATTTGAGAATAGCACTTAGTGTATGTGTACTGCGTCTCATCAGTAATCGGTACTGCAATATCGACATACATAAGTGGGTGCTCATAAGTTCATGAGTTCACTCAACTCCCTCATCCTAGAAATCGCTAAGTGGTTCTCAATAATCGAGTAGAAATCTCTATGATATAGTTGCACACCATTAGTCCGTAAGACCCAGATATCACATTGAATTGACTAGAGGACCAGCTGTATCATAACATGTCCCTGAGTTCCACCGAGTACCGCCCCAAGGGGCAGTGTTCGTGCAACCCGAAATCTAGTGAGAGGTATGTGCTTTGTAGTCGTGGATTCAATCAATAAAAAAATCTTGGATGTCCTGTGTTCTTATAGATTGTAATCATTAAGTTTCTGGCCAGAGCTGACTATGTGATGATTAGGGAATTTGATTCCCTAAGTCATGCACAAACTAATTGTAACACTTAAAACGATCGCATGGTTATTGAAAGGAGGTCTCGATGAACCAATGCATCTAGTTCAATCGGGAAATATATTGTAATACCCCACATTTTTCAGAAAAAAACCAAAATTTCGAATTTAAATTATTACCTCGAAAATTATCACATGAACTACATGCATTAAATTGATGACTACATGAATATTTTAGGTACTTTGATGTGCTATATTTAATTGGTATATTTATTATTTTTTTGTGTTTAATAAATCTGTAATTTTGTGATTATGTGAAATATATGATTTAGATATTTAAATGGCTTGATTAAATTAATAAATTAAAATTTGCATTTACCTATGCAGACTATGGACTATGTGTACATGCATACATACATAATTATATATATATATATATATATATATATATATATATAATATATGCATAAGTCGGATGAATAGTATGGTGTAGTGTGTTTAAAATAAATAAATAAAATTAGTAAATATTTGCATGACTTAACACTTGTCATCTTATGATCACTTCTCTTAATCCACACTCAAGACATTTGAAGAGACACTTTTCTATTTTTTCCTTATAACACATAATCTCCCTACATGGCTCCCTCTCCCCCATTCCACCGAAACATCACCACCACTACTGTTGTTCATCTTCTTCCACATCACCTTTCATTTTGGAAGAAAAATAAAAAACCAGCATGAAAATCCCCTATTTAATTAACCATGGCTCTAGAGTACTATGCAAAGAGCACCATAAGAAATACTTGTCCATTCACTGGAGAAAACAACACATCCATCTTGAAAGCACA